GCGACTCATTACGTATGATAACTTCCAATTTTTGTGGTCTTATTTTCTTATTTTATTGGTCTCAAAAGTGGTCTTGTTTCAGTTGTGATATCAACAGCATTTTATTAGTTCAGGTTCCGTCGTCATTGTTGAACGATTTGGAGCAAGAATTACTGAAGATTCCAAATAAAGATATGTGTAACGATCGTGTCGATGAGGTCATCACTAGCTTTCAACCCAAAACGATACCAAAATATACACTCGAATCACTTCTGCCGGAAATCGAGGCAGCATTCAGCGCTGAAACGGTGGAAGAAGTGATCGACCGACTGAGTACGAGTGAATCGGATTTCGCCAGGAAANATCACTTCAGTACTTACCTTTCTGTTTGCAAATTGTAATCACTTATGAAATAGTTTTAGTTATGATGTTGAGTTGGATGCGACTTCTGTGAGCTTCGTTTAGGTTCTGGAAAACTTGATAGTTTTTTGTAAACGATTGCACATCTCTAACGTTTGAGTGGATGGGTCTGGTGGGAAGTTTGACAAGTCACTGTGAATAATACTTTCAGAGTCCAACATCACTGAAAGTCACTTTGAAACAACTTCAACTGGGCGCAAAAATGAAGTTCAATGAAGTGTTCACCATGGAATATCGATTATCGCAGAATATTTTGAAAGGATTTGATTTTCANGAGGGTTGTAGAGCGAGTTAGTGCTCTGATCATATTCTTTGATTTCGTTTTTCGTGTTCACTGCGTTCGTCTCATTGTGGTTCGTTGCAGTTTTCATAATGAGAGTTGTTAATTGTTTTGTAATATTGCAGTATTAATCGATAAAGACAAAAGGCCAATGTGGAAACCGTCGAAGTTGGACGAGATCTCTGCGCAAATGGTTGACGAGTATTTCGCACCGTTGCCCAAATCCGACGAACTCGTCATTCATTGATCTGATGATTACTCACAATCAGTTTGATCTATCGCCAATCTATTTGTTATTATGAATATTATGGCATGAATGCAGAAATCATCACAATAACAGCAAAGTTAAGTAATTATTCTGTGTCACATATATTGAGTAATGTGAAACTCTTTGCAATTAGGTGCTTTGTCATAATAATATTAATATTAATGATATGTGCAAACGATTTCGTTGTTATGTGATCATTATAATAGGTGATTTATTGTTAGTATGGTACGTCTTGTAAGATTCTGGTTGCAGTGGATGACATCAGAATGTAGTGGATAACATCAGAACGTCCACTTTCCGCTCGTTACTCAGAACTTCTAAATAGA